GGAAAGAGAAATATGTCTGTCCTTGTCGTAGAATATCGCGCTCCTTGTCTGTCACGCGTCGTGTATCCGTCCTTGTTGCTCGGTATAGCGCTCCTTGTCCAACAGTAGTTGAGATACCTCCATGTATATTCTATATTCCTGTTACATTTCCAAGTTTTCAGTTCCAATCCGATAGATGGCAGCACTTGATTACAGAAAAAGAACAGCATCATCGTTTGACAAGGACGGATATATATATGTCGCACATAAAGAGTTCAATAGTGTGTAAGAAGGCATGTACATATATATGTATCTCAACAAGGAGCACGGATTGTGCAACGAGACATACACTTCCTCGTTTAACCTAAGAAAGAATTCATTAATTACATCTTTTCAACAAAATTGCCATGCTTGTGGGATTGTGTGAAAAAAATTGAATTCCAGGCAATTTTGGCTTCTGCAGGTAATTCAGCCTTTTTTTTTTTTTAATTGGTAATTTACAGTTTCGTTAATTGATTACTAACAAATTGTATCTGTGCAAATTTATATTTTTAGGTAGGTATTGTAACAAACCGAATATAAATGGACAATAAATGTATATATAGAATATTTACTGCAACAAATATTCTGTTGCAAGTATTTTATATATATTTCTGCGTATTACGTGCGATGTGAAAATTCGTTGTATCGGTCTCGTGTAATAACGTCATATCTTGTCAGTAAGTACGAATTAATCGAAAATTTGAGAATTGTTCAAAATCTGTTCTTTATTATATAATTCTTCGAATATTTACAAATGTCTCTCGAAAATGAGGTGATTAAATAGGTTTTCACGTTTAGTTTTATTTATATTTTTATTATACGTTGAAACATCGGTTATGTAAGGAAACTTGACGTTTCATCATTGAGACGGTCTTATTCATCATTTGTGCGAGAGAACAATTGTAACCTCGGTTATCGACGTTCGCGCGGTAAATTGTCTCATTTCTCGCGATAAATTCTCCACGTCCGTGAAATCTAGAGGTAGAATTGATGATTAATAACATTTCCATTTTAGAATTTGTTTCTTGCTAAGTCGCAGTTCTTCACGAAGAACGAAAGAGTTACCCTCATAATATCCTCGTAGAAATGAAACAGTCGAAGACTCGACAATGACCAGAAAAATCAATCGGTACCACGAGAAGTATGTTTTTCTTTTTTTAATTATCATCGAACTGAAAGCCGGTGTCGCGCGGTGCAGAATCTTTTAGCACTATATGTCAACGTGTTGTATAGGTTCTTGCAGGAGTGCAGAAAACGAATGGTAGTGATGTCGAGGCGACGAGGACACCGAGATGCTGCTTTCAAGCATATAGATTTAGCCTGGAATAGAGTAGCGCCGCTTTAACCGGCCATCGGTCGAGATATTCAGTTCATCCAGTTAAATGAAATCTCGAGTATCTCTCTTGTCAGTGGAGAATGAATGAAATACGAATACACGCGTGTTTATGACACATTTGTTTATTTTATATATATGTGTGTGTGTGTGTGTGTGTGTGTGTGTATGTATGTATGTATGTATGTACACACACATGTACAAAGCACGCTTCATGAAGCAGGAAAGCGGGGATAGCAACGGCCAGTTAACGAGGCAAAATCCTAGCCAGTTAATGCGGCACTGTTCCACCACACCACACGTGTTAACAATGGAATAGAAGGAACCTTTGAATTTCTGGGACACGCGAAAAAAAAAGCCGCCTATTGTCTGAAATTCCCCTGTTTGTAATTCTTACAGTATTTCACATAGGCGAACGTTGCGTTATCGATTGCTTTATCGTGCCTGTTCGCGTTCTTCGTGCGTTCAGAAACGTCCAACAGAGTTTCGTGTACAATCATTAGACCTACCTATCAATCAATTTATCATTCAGATCGTCGATTAGATTTACGAATGGCTATTTCTAGAATATCTGAACTTTTATTTTCACATTTCATTGATGCAAAGCAAAGAGGAAGCTGTCAGAGAATTCTTCCAAGTTTTCAGACATAATTTTTTAATACGAGTAACGAAATTATTCGAAACTGAAAATTCAAGGGAAGAAAAGGGTCGAATGTCCATTGTTAGTAGGTGTACGTACATGCATCACTATCCCTGCACACTTACGTCATAGTTACCCTGTGTGCAGGCCGGTGCACGTAACGGCCCTTACCACGTAAAGCGCTGCAGCAGCGGCAGCGGCGGCGGCGGCAACGGCGGCAGCAGCAGCAGCAGCAGCAGCAGCCCGTCCTCCTTTCTTCGTGTACATATCATTCTTAGTGGAGGGGATGAGATTGGTGGCATTTCAGTGACGTCAGAGTCGATCGTCAGGCGCAAACTGGGGGTTTGCGCCCACCATACTACGTCAGAATGACGAGCCGATAAACTACCCCATCAGGGTTTTCTGCGGCGGGCGGGCCAACGGTCTTAGGGTAAACATTCTTTCTTTCTGTCTGTGTTCTGCAAGTAGCTGCTGCACTAACTCGTTAAACTTCAAGTGACTTAACACACCGATAGTGAAACAATCCCGTGAGAACCGGGGGAGGGAAAGAGAACTGAAGGAGGTGGTGGTGGTCGGTGAATCACGTTCTGGATTCTGATTTCCAGGTGGCCGCCGTTGGTTTGGCCGACGATGGCGAACACGGCGGGGACAACGGTCGACGGTATCGACGTCGGCGAGAACGACGGCACGACAGGTGTAACCGGTGGCGGGCCTAGGAATCCCCTCATCTGCGGCGTCTGCCACGACTATTACAACGAGCCCTGTCTGCTGTCCTGCTTTCACACCTTTTGTGCCCGCTGCATCCGCGGCCCTCATCTTGAGGGAAAGGTCTCCTGTCCCATCTGCGGGTAGATAGCAACGACTGTTATTGCATGGCGTCCTTAGGGTGGGTGACGATCCCAGGTCTGGGTTAGGTTCGGTTACTATCTGCATGTTATTGCATTTCCTACTAGCTCAACTGTCTCTGTGTGTTAAATTCTACACCCTCTAAAGAGTACGACAATGAAGTTTCTTATTGTTCAGTTCCTTCTCCGCGATGATCTCTTTTTGCTTTGTATTGTATTGTACTTTACATACCTTGTTCTAAGTTAAAGTTTGTCTTAACTTTAAAAAATGAAACATCCTACTTGTTTCTGTGATTGTGTTGTAGTTTCTGCTTGATACCACTGACAGATGTGTGAAATTCATTTTGCATCACTTGTAAATTGTGTTTGTTTTGCAGATTCTCGTTTAAATTTATCCCTTTGTTACAAATTGTTATTATCATTAGCATCTCTATTTTATTGTGTAACAATACTTTGAAATTTGTCATTGTTTATATACACACTTCTATTATATAGAAATAAGAATATTGTTTCGCAAGAGTCAAAGTATCTTTTCCATCACTGTTGGAACTTCCCACCAATTTAAAATGCGTTACTGCTCATAGGCAACAGACCCAGCTGAAAGATGGAGCACAACTACCACCCCCCGATCAGCTGATACGTCAACTAGTCGAATTGGCAAACTCTGAGAATCCACCATGTGCCAACTGTGATAAACGTGACAAGTCTACTATGTTTTTTTGTACAACATGTGGTAGGTAGCAAGCAGTGATATATATATATGTATATATATGTGTATATATATATATATACACGACAATAATTTTATGCATTTTATCCATCTTACGCATTGAAATAATAATATCATGTGCTATAGAAAAACTTTTACTTTTACAATATAGGCCAAGCACTGTGTACACACTGCAGAGAACACACCCACCGTGCAAAGATGTTCTCGACGCACGAGGTACTGCATATGAGCAAATGCGCCAAGGATACCCAACGACGTTGCCCGACTCACGGGGAACAGTATATAATGTATAGTCAAAGTGCCAAGTGCATGCTCTGCGCTACTTGTTTTCGTGACACTCCTGCAGATGCGAGGCTTCACTGCGTCGACATTGAAAGTGCCTGGCAGCAGGCGTCGAAGAAGATGGAGAGGGCTGTTAATTCTATCTGTGAGCTGCAAGCTGGCGTGCGGGATGGAGTGTTAGCTTTAAAATCGCAACTGGACGAGCTACGACATAGTTTGGATTCCGAAAAGAGGGCGTTGAATTCCTTCTGTCAGGGAATGCAGGAGACCATAACGAAGACACACGGCAGTGCTTTGACGGAATTGCAACGACAGTTTGAAACGAAGGAGAGGATGGTTCGCAGCCAATTGCTTTCGCTAGGTAGCGCGCTTCCTGTGCTGCAGATGCATTTGATGCTGTGCACCGCGTTCACCAGCGGCGCGACGAAATATCAGTTTCTCGAACTAGCCCATCCGATGTTGGAACGACTAAGTCGAGTCGCACAATTAGGATATCCATCAAGGCCGCCTCTATTGACCGCGCATTTAAAGTCCAACTATAAGAACGAATTCGCTCGCGCGTTGCAACCGTACGTGGGTCAGACGCAAACCCAAAAGGAATCGTTGTACGATCAAACTCAAACGATGGCTCAACAGGATCCGCCAGTGATTCAGGTACCTAGATGCATTTACACTGGCCACCTGTCGATTACGAATTCCATCTTTACGTTCATATTACAAGTTTCTTTTTCATTGCATTTCTCGCGCACAATTCTGTGTAAGTATTTTTGTTTACAGGATTTTACTCGATATATGATGTGGCTTGTACTTAATGGTGGTAGTTAGTAGCCAGATTAGAATACAGTCATTCTTGTAGCAAATTGACTGTTCTCGGCAGACGTGAAAACGTTTCGTTTCTTGTTAGTTTCTTAGCCGATGATGTGGTAGTCAGTATCAGACAGTTTATTCAGACTCGTATATACCTATATACACGTCTGACGGTCTAGGAGAGAACGGCCAGCGTTTACGTAAGATGTTTCTTTTCCAAGCAGAGCAGCAAGTCTGCTCAGAGGATTGCGGGGCCCAAGAGCGGGACCGACGGTGGACCGTTTTCCAGTCACTGCCGAACATTTGATACTCAGCTGAAGGAATTGAATCAACAGTTGCTCACTGTAAAGGAACGTTTAGGCGAGTTACACCGCGATGTGGCATTTCTCAGAAGAGCTAACACACCTCCGTTGGGCACGCGTTACGAACAGGTGGCGAGGGATTGTCGAGTGCTGGAACAACAATTAGAACACTATCAGATGGAACTAGAACGTCTTAGAAACGTGTTTGACACACTTTGGGACGAACAGTTATGTAGAATTCACATAGAAAAAGAAATATTTCATTCGCAGGTATTTCATTTAGATTTGATTTGTCCGATGAAATCCCAACGTCTTGGAATCGATGCATCGATTAACGAGTCCTCTGTTCGTTTAGATGAACGATATCCTATCGTTGAGAAGTCAGGTAAAACAATTGCAGAATCTTGCTCAACAATTAGAACCGTTCATAAAATCATTCGCAACTGGGGTTAACGCTGGCGAAGTGAGCATGACAGCCTCCGATGCAGCCAGTAATCAGCATTTGCAGATGTTACTGGACCACTTGGCACGTTTACAAACGCAGGAGCCACCGCAACCGCAAACTCAAGCTCCGACGAAGGATCATCGACATTCGCGTACTACTACCAGTGCGGATAACGCGCTTTATATGAAAGGTATCTATCTAGAATTAATCTCGATATATACTCCAATTCCAAGATTACACCACATTTAATTTTTTTTTTTAATTAAATTTAGAAACGAAGGAGGTACCGACACGTTGTCGCACTCCTTCCGGTGTTGGGGCTGTCCTGGATTCGAGCGGAAACATCGTTGTGTATGGGACGGCTAAATCTTCGGATCCGAAAAGAGGAGTGCTTAGCCAATTGATCGAAAAAGCTAGAAGTAAGGAAGATCGTAAGAAGTCACCGGGAAGAGAGGAAAGTCGCGATCGTAGCCAAAGTCGACGACCGAGGAAGTCTCCCGATAGTACGAAGCCCAAGACACCGCCTGGTCATTGGTCTGCCAGCAAAGTACGATCTTTGTATCGATCTCTGAAGGGTGGTAGTGGAGATAATTCTGCCGAGGGACTCGATCAACCGGAAAGGTGTACGGATTCCCAGCAACCACAGTCGCACACGGCTGGTAAGAACAGATCCGTGAGGATTGTATGCACGAGTAAATAGCGTTGCTAGAAAAGAATTCGATGCTTCAGTTTCGATGACGAACTTAGGGGACTATGTAGATAGCATTTATAGATCGATGTAAATAAAATGAATCTTGATGAATGTACGCAAGAATTGTTGTACTATCGCGCCCAATTCAGGAACGACGAGTGCACTTTCATTTAAAGTTATACTGGCTAATTAATTAAGGTATAAATCGATGAACAGAGAGGCTCATTTCGGGGGGGAACGTGCTAACAAGTGTCGCGGATCACGTTATATACTGTGATACTTAAATAATACAATGAATATTAACGAGAGACACTTGAGTGACTTCCACGTTCGAGTATTCTTTTCATTATCGGTCTCACTATCATTGTCTCTGTGTGTGTCACAATGTGTCACAATCGACGATTAAATTTATTACTCGTTTGATTACTCACACAATGAAGCGGCAAACATTCTGCATTAAAAACATCTACAAATATCCACGTAGTTTTCATCGTTTCTTTTAGTTTTAGAGATATTTTTCGATCGAATCAGATCAACCGTCAGTTCCCCGAAACATCAACATAATTGATTTCTCTCTTATTCAGTCGTTCCAGTTCATTCATGTAAAATCATTCGCATTCACTTTTAGCGGGTGAGGAAGGAGAGTATCAACGAATTTCGGAGGCGTCCAGTACGGGAGAGGTGAAGAAACGCGTCCAGGCTCAGGTACACGCAGTTCCTGACGAGCAATCGATTTCTGCAAGCAAGGGAACCAAGGTGTATCCGGCCAGCGACTCGGAGGACGTGTTCTATGCGGACGAGAAGACGGAGGTGAGGAGGCGGCGACGTGCGAGCTGCGACAGCCTAAGTACGACCGGCTCGGGAAGCAGGCGATCGAGTATCGTCGATGGGACGGTAGGTCAATCCGCGCAGGATCCCAGGAAAACAATGGTTCTTTTGATCGGGCCTACACCGAAGTCGTCGTCTCTGGTGCAGAAGCAGCGTTCCTGGGAAACGTTTCCTCGGCCGAAAAGCAAACGCAGCGTAACAGCCAGCGAGGGTGGTGCTTCATCTCTCAGCCAGCTGAAGAAAACGGACAGTTTTGAAGGGCATGAGGAAACTGTGAGAACGCTGGTGGCGGCCGTGCAGGAGACGAGGTCGCATCTGCATCATCGTCACGCGCATCACCATCGCCATCACC